CGCTGTGCTCAGATTTGGCCGCAGACCGCCCGCTTTGTCCCAGTGTGCCAATGTTGGTACGCCATGAGCATGACCCACACCAGCGTAGAACGATTACGGCTTATGTTGCACGCTTGTTGTGTTACTTCTGTTGTGTTGTGATTTCGAAAAACAGGTAGACAGCGTCCACCTCGTGACGTTTTTTGCCGAGCCCGTCCTTACCGAGGAGTTCTCTACGGCGTTGTGCACCGGATGCACGGATGAGCGGGACAGTTTCCGACACCTTTTGAGCTAGCATTCCGGTCCAGGTTGCTGTGGAATGTGCTTTGTGTGCTTACGTGTAAGAAAAACTGCGGATTTTCTTTGCCGACCTCGCATGTACCGCTGTCTCGCAATCTACTGCATCTGTCTTCTCGTGCCTCTGCACGTCCCTTTCCCTTCTTCCGTTTTTCCTGAACATCCGAAGTTTGGTCTACGTCGGGGCAAACACCTTCATGTCGACATCGAAGCTGTTGCAGTGCGTTGCTAATGCGAGACATGGGCTGAGGGCTCTTTGTTATGAATTGTGTCCGAACCTTGTGACGAACGAACGCACGAACAATTGTGACGGATGTCTGGGATCAGAGGTCACGCAAAGCAGTGCTTATCGTGTGAACCCCGACCCCACCATCCAATGGTGGTATTCCAGTTTAACGACAGAAATTTTGCGGCAAAAGTTTAACGTGATGCAATGTTCGGCATGGTTTGCCTCACCTCCTAACCCCACTGTACCTTGAGCGGCAGTTGCCAACGATCGCAGGCCATTCCAGTCTGGGGCAAATAGCAAATGTATGTAGCGATTCAACCTCTTACCACGGGCAAGTTGAGGGGCAGACGCTCTAGCCGACGGAGTTACGGAGGTGGGCTCAGCCTTTTTGATGTACGGTGTATTAAGCCAGGCTTCTGACTTGCATGGGTTCGGGACGCCCTGATGTTTTGACTGCACGTACATCATGAAAGCACCACCACTCTTCTGCAAAAATGTGCATTCTTTGTCGGGAGGGGGAAAAACAAAATGAGCTTTTTGGAGAGATCTCCTCGAACCAAGCTGTCCAGGACCATTCGGGCTCCATGATATTCGGTATGCATACGACGTCAGACTAATGCAGTTTAGACAGCCCAAGCCACACATCCGCTCCCGGGTTGTGTAATCAGAGGTCAGAAAAGAGTAGCCTCAATGTGGAATTATGCCACTACGGATCTCGTTAATTTCACAAAATTATACATGCACATTACGACCCGTGACATAACTGATCTTGACCTTTCCTCGCCAGCTCTGGCCGGCTGCACATATCCATGCATGCGTGGAGGGTTTCCGTGTTTGTTTGTTTTTTTGTTGTTGTTTGTTCCTTTTATGTTTTTTTTTTTGTCGGTGCGCTCTGCTACCCAACTAATCGGCATCATTCACCACCATGATTTTTGCCGAGTGAGTAAGATATACAGCGACCCTGAAGGCGAAAGCACATCAGCTCGGACCCCAAGTCCACTCACACCGTACACTAGCGCTGTCTTTCCGGCTTATGCAGGCTTTGTTGGTCGGTGTTAGTTGGCGTGGTCCATTCCGGAGTTGCTCTATGGACGCCTCACCCAACCTTCAAGGCCAGCGTCTGGTCGGCTGCCTGGCCGCTGTTTGGTCAGGCGAAGGGCCTTCTGTTTGGTCAGCTGTCAGGCCGCTATTCTGCCAGCTGTCTGGTCGCTGTTTGGTCAGTTGTCCTGTCGCTGCTTGGCCAGCCGTCGGGCCGCTGTTTGGTCAGCCGTTGGGCCGCTGTTTGGTCAACCGTCGAGCCGCTGTTTGGTCAGTTGTCGGGCCGCTGTTTGGTCAACTGTCTGGCCGCTGTTTGGTCAGCTGTCTGGCCGCTGTTTGGTTAGCTGTCTGGACGCTGTTTGGTCAGTTGGCTTGCCGCTGTTTGGTCAGCTGTCTGGTCGCTGTTTGGTCAGCTGTCTGGCCGCTGTTTCTTCAGCTGTCGAGCCGCTTTTTTGTTAGCTGAAGGGCCTTCTGTTTGTTCGCTGGAGAGCGTGCAGAGCTAGGGCTAAGCTGTGCGTGGCGGACAGACCTTTATATCATCCAATATGTGTCGATCCCTCTCTGGTATCCGGATATCGTCTGACCCGTGCACAAAATTTGCAAAATTTAAGCCAGTTCATCGTGGCATGGCAGATATTTGCCGATTCGTGCTATATTATGTACATTGACTCGGATCTCTCGTTCAGCCACGTGGAGCTTTGCCTCTGCACATGTGGCCTGTCGGTCATATGGGCTGTTCCTTTTCGCATGCGGCAATTTCCTTCTCTGTTTCATTTTTCACCGCTGTTGGTTTTGTTCATGTTTGTGCATTTTGTGTTTCCCAACGCCGTTTTGGAACGCCAATGCGAAAAGCGGGTTTTTTGGAGATGGATGCGCGTCCCCCACTTCTCAAGTCGGCACGCATCCCACCGCGGGCCCATCTCTGCTGACCGCCCCGTCCCCTCCCCTCACGCGATACGGGCCATGCTGGCACCACTGAGGTGACCCGTGTAACCGTACCGTTGCCACGCTCCAGATCGCCGCAGTCACCAGCGGGGCATGACCCGAGACCTCGTGACGCTGCGCGGCGGGGCGAGGCGGCTCGATCAAGACACGCAGGTCAGGTCGAGTCGGCTGGTGCTTACTGGAACGCCCCAGACAGAGAGGGCGTAGTGACTGGAGTTACGTCGTTGTAGTTTACGGCTGCCGTGCATGCACTGCACGCCATCTATACGGATGACAGTAGTCATGGTATGGTGGACCAGCAACATTTCGACGGTTTTTTTTGTAGCCACTGACCCAAAACGCACACACAAAGTAAGCACGTGTCTTTGTGTTAACGCCCCTACGGTTCTGTGTAGCGGGAACCCGCTTCATCAGCAGACACGCTATATACTGCACGACGAAGTGCCTTTAATCCGAATCACCATCATCATTTCTCGTGCCGAAGAACATTGGGGCGCCTTGAAACGCCCTCACATATTTCCAAAGGCTATCAAACCGCAAGCAATCTCCAGAGCCACAGGCCTA